ATTATAATTTACCGAATTTTATTAACGACATTGCTATGCGCAAATTATGCCAGCAATGAAATTTACGATACGACATTCGGTTACATTAAGCGTTACATTAATTTCTGACCACCATAATGTTTCGAACGGCACTATTATCATCATTATCATTATCATTATCATTGTTATCATTATCATTGTTATCATTATTATTATTATTATCATTGTTATCATTATTATTATTATCATTGTTATCATTGTTATTATTATCATTGTTATTATTACCATCATAATAATTATTATTATCATCATCATCATCATCATCATCATCATCATCATCATTACTATTAAATTTGAGAAAGCTGAGGAACGATAGCAGTGTATCTAAATTTCATTATTCAATTAGGAGAATGTGATTTTTTTAGTTTACTTTCAATTAAATTCGCCATAATGGCTGAAAGCCCTTGTGATACTTACGGCTCGCCGACATAAAGCGCAACAACGTGCAACGAGCCTCGGAATTTTTCAGGCCTACAAACACGCGTCACGCAAAGAAGTTTTATTAATTGTTCAATTGACAGTTAACTCGATCGCATTTGCCGATTCCACTCCCGTCAATTTAAAGCACATAATACAGGGAGACGCGCCATTTCATAAAATGCCATTATCCGTGCTACGAATGATTTATAATGACGCGCGTACTTTTGTTTTCCGCTATATCGTCGCCGAATTTATAATTAGTAGGATGTGTTATTTGAATGCCAAAGTCACAGCCACTACATAATGCGCGTCAATGGCTTCGAAAATTATCATTATTATATAACGAGCCACCTATCCTCGACATACATATCCGCACTCCATTATTCAAAGACAAATTTTTGCTGAATCGTCCGCTCAAGGGAGCGAGAATCAGCGAAGAATCCCTTTGAAAGGGCGCAAGCGTTGATTGCGTTATTCCGTGGGCTCGCTGCTCCAAGCATCCGCGACGGAAAAAATCATCGCCCTGACGAGTCTGGCGCTACGTCTACGCGGCTTATCCGACCCTCGAGCTAATTATGGGTTCGAGGCAGCGCCGCCACTATTCCACTCCTATCGACAATGACGGATGAACATTATGTTATCCAACCTCGTTAAGAAAATGCTCTCGCCGCTAGCTCCTGACGCATTCGTCCTCCTCGGCTTGCCAAATGTGCCTCGAGAGCAATGTAAATAAGGGCTTAGCAGGCGTAAGATCGACCCGCCGCTCCGATGTAGGTACGAGCCCCCGAGGGTCCGCTCGCACCTTCTAATACCAGTCTTCGACTGCTTCCCGAGCTTTTCTTTTTTCTCTTTTCTTTTTTTGCTTCTTTTCATTATTCTCGGGCTAATACTACCTTACCGACGATCGCATGGACAACGATTAGGATTCATATTATCGCGTCTGACTGTAAGTCGCGAGGTTTTTGCTCTTTTTCTTTTTCTTTCTAGCCCCGGGATCCTTTAAATTTTAATGCTAGTGCGGGCGAGTCTCTGCCCTATCGGTCAAAGTACTACGATCAGCAGGTCGAAGATTCTATATAGAATGACCTCCAGGTGTTTGTCGGCCTTGTCGACGACGATCAGTTACTGACCTTTCGGTATCCAGCTACATGTGTCATATACCGCATTTGCATATGTAATTAAATACTTGTGAGCATGCGTGTAAAATTGTAATGTATCAAGTGCTTGAGTTAGCATATTCAACGTTTCTTTATATGTGGAATTTTTATATATCTGTGGAAACCTCTCCGGAGCATTAATGATATCTTCAACCCTTATTACTGGCGCACACACACCCAGGCCAACACACCCAC